CCCCAAAACCCCAAAACCCCAAAACCCCACAGAACCAAATATCATTTATTAGGATAAACGATATTTAAATAAAACATCTTAACTGTTTTAAAATTCCAGAATTAAATATTGATTACTCAATCCTGAATCTTCAAATAATCTCAGAGATAGTTCCTTCTCACTCACTTGTTATTTTTGTTTTTATCCTTATGATCTTGTGAGCCGACTGCCTCTTTAACTTTTTCTTCTACTTTGTGAAATCCCTCAACTATTTTTTCTTTCAAGTTTTCAGCTACATCAGCAACTTTCTCAGTGACTTTCTGGGTCATCGTCTGATTCTGATCAGATTATTCAGTAAATGTTTACTGTGAAGAACCTGTCGTCCATTAAGATTGTTAATCTGATTTCTTACCTCCAAGATCCTTGCTTGTTTAGGAGTAACTTTATTTATCTGTTTCTCTCTAAGAGCTTGATGATTAAGTATTTTATTGGAAGAAGTCTGAGGTGCTTGAAGGTTATGATCCTGATTAATCTTTATTCAAATAAGAACTATTCTCTCCATAAGTCTAGGTACCTTTAGGAGTCTTCAACTATTAATCGGAATAAAGAGGATCTTTCACACTTGAATATTTCATGTCTTTTCCAATATTAGACGAGCCTGCAGATGAGCCAGTCGATGAGCCATAGCCTGGGTTTATATTTGAACTAGAAGAAGAGCCACTTGAATAATTTGGAATATTTTAAGCTTTATCTTTGTTCAAGTCATGATCCTTTTTCTATTCTTGAGTTAACTTTTCTTTGGTAGTATCCCAAGCATTTTTGGTAGCATCTTGAACTTTCTCACCTATGTTTTTGCCATAGCCATCTTAATTCCTTGGGTCATTGGTGATACGAGCGATCTGGAATTGATAAATTGATCGAAAGGCTTGGAATTTTCTGAGCATTGAGATGTAAATTAGCAAGATATTTATTATATAATCAAATTAGGAATATTATTTAACTATTAATAGTTCATTAATATCAAATCATTAATTAAGGAGATAAAAGTTCTATTAACTCATGAATCTCTAAAGTTGAACTCATAAGTATTCTTTATGAGTAATGAGTAATTGATACCTCAAAAAGATATAGATAAAGCACTTTAAGATAAATAGTTGAAATTTTGAGGAATAGATGAAAATGTGTATTATGTCATAAAATTGAGAGTAACTTTAAATATTTATAAAACTAATTCCAAGCATAATATCAATAAACAAGCATAGTATAATTAATCAAATAACAGTTCCATCAGTCTTAATGGTGAAATTGATTTCATTCGAAAATCATACCAATCGAATCACCTTCTCCTGGTTATGGGACTAAAATAAAATTATTTATTATGATTGAAATACATTAGTAAGCAGTGTTTGCTTTTGTATCCATGTCTCTGTTATCAACAGGTGCTTATTTATCAGTGATGTTAGTTTTGTTCTTATCCTTTCCAGTCATCACATAATCGTCTTATCTAGATCCTTAAACTTTCGGCTCGTCTACTGGGTTGTTGGGAGGCTTCTAAATATTTGATTTCTCGCCTACTTTTTCAATATCTCCTTTATGATGATGTCTAAGATCTTCACTAATCATATGGATAAGGTTAATTTTTTTAAATTGTTTTTAAAAAAGTTTTATATTTATTATTCAGTATTCTCTAATTTCTCAAACATTTGATCAAGGGGTTTTGGGGTTTTGGGGAGATCGGAAGAGCACACGTCTGAA